GTGGGGGTGGGGGTGGGGGGTGGTTGGCCCAGAGAATTTAAGAAAATTGCCCATCGTCACTCAGTTCTTCAGGAGCAGAGCTGGCAGTCAGACTCAGACAGCCTGCAAAGACGTTCCCAAGACTGTGCTCCTGTCCTTTCTGTTGCTGATGAATCTCTTGCTGATGATCAATGAGAATCTCTCATTTCCTGGATTCTAATGTCACTCCTCACACTGAAAAGAGACTCCCTGCCTATGTGTGGTGCAGAAAAAAAGTTCACATCCGGGCTTTGAGAAAGCCGTCTGTGGTTCTCAGGCTTCACTTCAGAGCTGGCTCAGGAAGCCCTCACACCTCCAGAAAGGGTAATGGAAGGAACACCCGAGCACGGCCTACGTGAGAGGGCCACCCTCAGACCGAAATAGATCTCTGTTACATCAGCCACACCGCTGGGGTGAAAAAGAAGCCCACGGTGTCACACCAGTTTCCAGCTAGGCCCTAGAGGGTATAAAAGAAACGTGGAGTTTAAATATTTTTTACTTTTCCAGAAAAAGACCCTCAGTCTCTACTGCAAAGACAAAAGTCTGAGGCAGCCCTCCGTGAAAACTCTGCATTCCTATCCTAGTTTTGCCCCCATTCTTCCCATCGCCCTGAGGAACCCGCCTGCAGCCCTGACTGCAAGGCTCCTCACACTGCTCCTTAAGCTACCTCTTAGTTACCACCTCTTAAGCTCATAACTTAAAGACCATTCTCATTAAAGCTCATGAAGTCCATTCTCCCTCCAGCTTGGAATTAGAAAAGGAAGCTGTCCCATGAAGTGACACTCACCTTTCACTAGACAGCAAGGAAACCCTAGAAGAGCAAACTCTCCCGAGAAGACTGGATGGCTTCCAGGTCCCTTCCAAGTAAAGTTTATTATTAAACAGACTTATACTAAACTCCCTCAGTCATGTCCAACTCTTTGCAACCCCATGGGACTGTAGCCCGTCAGGCTCCTCTGTCCATGGAATTCTCCAGGCAAGAATACTGGAGTGGGTTGCCATTCCTTTCGCCAGGGGACCTACCCCCCAGGGACTGAACCTGGGTCTCCTAGATTGCTTGCAGATTCTTTCCCTGCTGAGCCACCAGGGGAGCCCCCTATACTAAACAACGAATGATAATAACTTGCTCTGGAAAATCTGCGCACCAGTGCAGGGGTGTTTGCTTGCTACATACCGGTGGGATTTAAGACAGTGCTGCGGGTGTTTATATGCCAATACTCAGCCTCCTGTTCCTTGTATATGGCTAGTCTAGGGAGAGGTTTGTGGAAACTTGGTAACCTACATGTGGGTGAGGAAATGAGAGAGGAAATGGAATAAGTAAGCCTCTCTAAGACCACTCAACGAAACTCCTACAGACTTCCCTGGTGGTATAGCGGACATGAATCTGCCTGCCAATGCAGGGGACATGGGTTCAGTCTCTGGTCCGGGAAGATACCAAGTGCTGAGGAGCAACTGAGCCCACACGCCTCAACCTCTGAAGACCATGCACCCTAGAGCCCGTGCTCCGAAACAAAAGGAGCCCCTGCTCACGGCAACTAGAGAAAAGCTCTTGAGCAGCAGTGATTACCCAGTGCAAACGAAAAATAAATAAATCACTGCTCTAACAGCCAATCTTTTTTAAAAAAGAAGAAAATCCTCCATGCACCCCTGGAAGCCGCCTGGAGTATGAATGCCATTTGTGGCCACAAACCTCCTTCCCTGCCGGTGGACACAGTCAAAAGAGGCCAACATCCCATTCATCTTCTCTTCCCCCAGCAGCTCTCTCACTGGCACTGAAGACTTAGTGTGCCAGCTCCAAAATATAACAACCACCACCACCACAGCTCTCTCCCTAGGCCATGATCTCCACCTTTTCCAAATGTGACCTTATTTATCTCAAAAGAAGAAAAAAATTCTCTTGAATTGAGTCAACAGTGGAGACTATTCACTACTGAAAAACATAAGTGTTAATAATATGCTTGCATGAAGAACAGTCACACCACAAAATACGGTGGAACAAAAAAATCCTTACTATCACCTATAACCTCCATCCTGCCCCCCGAAATGCCAGTCTTCACAAATATCTCTGTTTCCTCACCTACAGCAGCTTTTATTCAAGCAACTGAGTAAAAGGGAAGTGAATCACATTTTAGTGAATTTTACTGTTTTCCATTTAATTAATCAAAAAAAGTTATATAATATAAAATAGTTCTCCTTCTATTCTTTTCCTTGCAAACAGAAGCTAACTTCAAAGAGTTTTGTGAGCTGACCTGGCACCAAAACACAAAAGCATCCATCACCAAAGGTGCTGAAACAATTGACCACCTTTTAGAATCAGCCCGCTTGTATTTAGAATACGACCTCTGTCTGTATTTTAGGAAGGAAGTTTTGTACCAGGAATATCAAATGAGCCCCAGCTTGGGGCCAGTGGAATTGCCAGCAAAATGTGCCTGAACGTAAAAGTCAACCGACTGCTTTCTCAGCCATCAGTACCTCGGGCTTTCAACACTAACTCATCATTAAAGGAGGACGGTTTATTGGTTGGCATCATCTCATAAAAATGGGGGGAAAAAACATAAAAAACACAAGCCAGTACTTTTAAGCATTGCTCTCTAGAAAAATAAAAGCATACCTAGTCACATTTAAGGCCACAGCTTCTATAAAATGTAGCCATAAGGGGCATCAAGGGACAGCTTTTTCTTGACTACTGAAGTCAGGAAATTTTCTTCCCTTAGAATGGCTCTGATTGGCAGATACTCTCTGAAAGAGGACAGCTAAAGCCTGTGGTCGTTTTATGTCAATGGCTCAACTGAGCTGGTCTTCCCTCCACTCATAGCCCTTTCTCTTTTTGGTAGCAGGTTTGGATGTGGCCATAGGCCACAGGCCACGCTCATAGCAGTGGCTTTAAGGGACAGGAATCACCACAAGAACACAGGCACTTGGGCGCGTGTCTCCTGCAAGTCATTGACAGAATCTGCCTATGGTGATTCTTCTCAAAATAACTTGTCAGACTAAAATTGTAGATGACTCAAAACTGCTGGTATCTGTTTCATCTGGCTATTAGGGTGGTCAGGATGTCTAACATAGGAAGGAGAAAATGACAAAATGTCTGGGAATCAACAGACCCTTGCTAGACTTGATTTTCCTGACTAAAATTAACCCTTAATTTGATGCACTGGAGGCAATATCAACTGCTTTTTCTATTGAGAAATAAAAGAGAAATCAACAAAAATATATTTCTGAAACAGTATTCCCTGGGTACAAAGTTAAGTTATACATTCTGAAATAGAACACGCTTACTATGGTTAAGAGACATGAACCATGTACAAATTTAGCAACAACTCATCATATTAGATATCGGGACCTTTGGCACTGGCATTTTCCTGTATCGTTTCAGAGTGTACTGGTAAAGATGGCAGACGAAATCTAATCTGTTAAAGTCCATGTCCCAAACAGAACTGCACTTCTAAAATAGCCTCAGCAGAAACAACATCATCTTTCACACTTATTTTTAAGGAACCAAGGAAACATTTTAAAAGAAATAGTACATCAAGTGTGTTCAGGAGTGAGAATGAGCTTCAATAGAAAGTCAGTAATACCTGCCACATGTATACTTAGGGAAACCTTAAGAGTAATACGCTCACAGGAAACTCTGCGCAGTGTTATGTGCCAGCCTGGATGGGAACGGGGTTCAAGGGAGAATGGATACATGTATATTGATGGCTGAGTCCCTTCCCTGTTCACCTCAAACTATCACAACATTGTTAATCAGCTATGCCCCACTACAAAATAAAAAGTTCAAAGGGGGAAAAAAAAAAGAGTAATGTGCTCACAGTCAAGAATGGAAAGAAACAGCACAACCTATGTCTGATACTGTCCATCTTTTGGAGGCAGCACTAAAACTTAGCTTTTTTTTTTTTTTTTTTTCAATATAAAAGCCAGAAAGTCGCTTCTTACTTAAAAGTGTTTTTTACAATACTGTCCATCTTTTGGAGGCAGCACTAAAACTTGCTTTTTTTTTTTTTTTTTTTTCAATATACAAGCCAGCAAGTTGATTCTTCCTAATATGTGTTTTTTACATGGCAGTTCCCTTTCAGGACATGGGACTCCAAGCAATGTGGCTGGCTCTACCACCCTGGAACACAAAGGAACAGAAGCAAGAACAAGACAACCCAGGCAGGGCTGAAAGGTTCCCACAAAAATGTAGGGTGTGAGTAGTTCACAGCCCAACTGCAAACAGTGTCCCAAATTCCTTCACCTTCGTCTTTGAATCTGGAATGAACCAACCAGCTGGTATCACAAAAAGTCCTAATGACTTTGGGAAGAGGGGACAGGAGATTAATACTAATTACTGAGTTAGTATTTCAAGAACAAAACCAAAAGTTATTTCCTGGCATCAACTTGAACTATGGGAAGGCATAGCTGTAGTGCAAAGGGGAAAAAAAATAAAAGAAACCAACACTCTGAATTATTTGAAAACTTCATGCCAATTCCATTTTCATAGCTTTCTCCCACTAAAAATTTTACCCAATATAAGTAATAATGCTACATAAGTAACTAAACCTTTCAGAAATAAACCCAAAATTTTGATTTGGGTCTTTTGTGTAGGCTCTTTCTTTTCCCATTTCCTTTCTCAGCTGTCTGCCAGCTAATAAGAAACTCTTGGCAGGAACATAGAAGGTATCCAGACATTTGGATGAATTAGACAAAGAAAGTCTAAGTGAATAAACCATGGCACTCGGAAATGAAGCAGTCTTTTAAAACCAAAGAGCCAAAACAGAGGTTAAGTAATATAATGCTTTCTGATAAAGAAATTTACTTTTTAAAAAATGAGATACACATAGTTCTCAATGATCATTAAAGCAATATTCTAAATTAGTGTCTTTCAGATCAAGCTGAGATAGTAATTTCTAAACAATACCATTAGCCTACACTCGTTTCATATACAGTACTTTAATAGACTTAAGTTTCATATTATAATCAATACATGGATAATTACTTACTTGCTTCCTTTTGTAATGAGCAAAATGAGAGAGGCCTAGAACAGTGGCAAGAGCACCTCCTCCAGCAAGAATAGTTCCTTTCACTGCCTTCTGAAATGCCATTTTTTAGCCTAAAAGGCAAAAAAAAAAAAAAAGGAAACAAAAAAGTTGAGATTTTTATCACATAATAATCCAATCATAAAAAGAAACTGTATAGATTATGAAATTATGTTAAACTAGAAAGAAAAACAAACCATAAGGAATTTATTAACATATCAATTTGTATACCACAACTCAAAAACAACACACAAAAAACCCTAGGAAACTGACAACATAAAAGTTACTGTCCAACAGGAATTACAAAGAGGAAAATTCAGAGACAACTGAGGATTTTTAAATAGTATAAAGTCAAGAGAGCTTGTGAAAAGAAATGTCATTGTATGTCTGACAAAATTGCAAGCTGTACTTGCAAATTTGTTCAACCACTAATCCCCTCCACAAAAAAGAACTAGTCGAAGTCTTCTGTCATTCAACATCACAAAGAACCTCATGCCTGCTCCGCATTCTTTGGCAAGTGTTTAATTCCACCCCGGTGCAACTCTCTTCCTGAGTTTTCCCCTTCCGAATAAACTTCTCACTAAAACTGAAAGCCAACACACTTACATTTCTATCCCTGGAAGAGTCTGCATTTTACAGATTAAAAACGAAAGGAAACCCATGCTTTGACCCTTCTACAAAATGACAGATCCAACAGTGCTCTAATTTTTTTCATTAAGGGAACTTTTAAAAGAATGAAAAAGGTTTCTTCTAGTCAGAGTTTGCATGGCACCACAATTTCAAGGGGAAACCCTCTAGATCCAGCACTCCTTCATGCTCACTGTATATTTCTAAATAAAGTCTTGCACTGTGTTAGCTATCGACTTTCTTTCTGCTCATTTGGATTGATGGAACTGCTTGATTTTTTTTTTTGTTCGAGGCCTTATACAGTCTAACATTTTCCAGAAACCAAAAAATAAAAAAAATAAATGAAAATTCCACTGAAAAGCCTATTATTGTGCTAAACAAACAAAAAAGGTAACACTGTGTGATCAATTAAAAACAATTCTAACTTAGAGTTAATATTGAGCAATTTGACCCGCCTAAGTCTTCCACTTACAACAGCAGCTGGCACACCCAAATCTTACAGCGGAGCCACCACCCTACTGCCTGATGGGTGAAGTTCTGACCTATCTAGACTCACACCTTCTACTCCACAGATCTCATGACTCAAAGTATTTAATGTGAGGCCAGTTTTAACCTAGGATAGTAAAAAGCATACACTGTCTTAATGTAAATTATGATAGAGCTAAAATGTTTGAGTTCATGTTGAATGAATAGAATATTAGCATAACTATCTTAAATCAAAGGATTTCAGTACAGTTGGTAACGATGACTCTACAGTAAAATTCAATTTGGAATACTATAAATTATATACGGAAATAAAAGTTGGCATTTCTTAAAATTTTATTTTTTCTCTAATCTTCATTTTTTTTCCTGACAAACTCCTAAATTCTAAGACTCATCTTTATTTTTAAAATTCTCACCAGAAAAATATTTTACAAGCATATGTTCTCTGCAACTGGAGGTCTTTTCTTTTCCACCCCTTCTCTGCATCAACTGTCCCCTCTCTCCCAAGTTATGCAAAAGAGTTGCTGTATACTGGCTGAGGCTTCCATTCAACATTCAGTCAGCCCTAAGCAAAACCTAATGTCCACGATTTTCTGACAGTGAAAACCACAACTTGGCCAATTTGGAAAGTACCGGTTTGTCACAGCTCAGCATCACCATTTCTAGTATGGTTATAAATACTCAAATGGGTGCCAATCGATCACACAATGAAACCTTAACAGCCCAGAGATAGCATGCTATTCCCTAATTGGACTAATTGGACCTCCCTATCACTACGAATAAAATTAGTGGAGGTGATGGAATTCCAGTTGACCTTTTTCAAATCCTGAAAGATGATGCTGTGAAAGTGCTACACTCAAAATGCCAGCAAATTTGGAAAACTCAGCAGTGGTCACAGGACTGGAAAAGGTCAGTTTTCATTCCCGTCCCAAAGAAAGGCAATGCCAAAGAATGCTCAAACTACCGGACAACTGCACTCATCTCACACGCTAGTAAAGTACTGCTCAAAATTCTCCAAGCCAGGTTTCAGCAATATGTGCACCGTGAACTTCCAGATGCTCAACCTGGATTTAGAAAAGGCAAAGGAACCAGAGATCAAATTGCCAACATCCGCCGGATCATCGAAAAAGCAAGAGAGTTCCAGAAAAACATCTACTCCTGCTTTATTGACTATGCCAAATCCTCTGTGTGGATCACAATATACTGTGGAAAATTCTTCAACCACCTGACTTGCCTCTTGAGAAACCTGTATGTTGGTCAGGAAGCAACACTTAGAACTGGACATGGAACAACAGACTGGTTCCAAATAGGAAAAGGAGTATGTCAAGGCTGTATATTGTCACCTTGCTTATTTAACTTATATGCAGAGTACATCATGAGAAATGCTGGGCTGGAAGAANCATCACTGACTCAGTGAACATGAGTTTTGATGGACTCTGGGAGTTGGTGATGGACAGGGAGGCCTGGCATGCTGCGGTTCATGGGGTCGCAAAGACTGAACTGAACTGAACAATTAGAAACACAGAATAGAGAACTGGTTCTATTTACCTGAAAAATGCCAGTGCCCATCCCATACAGATAGCAGCCTGGCAGTCACCTGGATAAGAGTTTGACAGGCAGTTGACTTTAGCTCAGTATCACTGCTTCTGTCTTCTTGATAATGTCACTGATGTCCTCACAAAGGACACCACACATCAAAACAGCCAACTAAGGGACATTATACAACACAGTCATCAAGGGTCTCAGCAGAAGTGGTCATTCAACCAGTTAAGTCTGGGGTTAGCTTTTCCAATTGTGTAGGTCCTCACATTCCCTGCTCACCTTATTCTATTGCTTCAATTTGATTTTCCTGAAACAAAACTTGCTAAAGAGGATTATCTTCATGGATTTTCTCAATGAGCCACAAATACTACAGGAAAACTGCTTAACATATTATTTTGCAGAATTAGTAATAATTGGCTATAATAAAAAGTTTTTTTTTCAGTATTTTCATAAAATAACTATGCTGAAGTAATATTACTATTTCTATTGTGATCAAATGTATCCATAAGATAATCTAACTAGTAGATATAATTTGTAATAAATTAAGTCACTCTTAGAGATACTTCAAAAATAGAAACATAGAAACAGTCAATTTTACCTGGCTCTTCTAAGATGATTATAATCATCACTGTCATTGTCATCATTATTAATGTTATAATGACAATAGCTGCCATTTACCAACTTATTTGCTAGGTAATAGGCACCGTGATTTTCATTCCTTATGTAAATCAGCTCATATCACCCTCACAACATCCTACTTTAATACATAGGCACTTGCAGTTCAAAGGGAATAGCAGATTTGTACCAGGCTACCCACAGTAAGTGACAAAACCACAACTCAATCTTTGTTCTTAATCACGAGGTGGTTCTGCCCTGCCTTTGCTCTGAAACGGTAACTGCTCCCCAAGACTCACACCATGTTTTGCTATTATTCCTCCAAGAAGCATTCACCCAAAGTGTACAGAGCCTCAACATTAGAGTTTCTCTAAGGCAATGAAGAAGACGCTGACAAAATACTACTAGTAACCTTCTGTCAGATAAGGTAAAACTGTTTTAATGTTGAAAGAAAGCAATGCAACACCAGATTAAAAACCATAAGCTGTGAACTATTTGTACCCATTTACATTCCATTATAAAAAAAAGTTTTCACAATTATTACAAAGAGGAAAAGATTACTTTCTTCTACATAAAAGCTGCAACCAGGAAGCTAGCAAAGACTGGGAACAAAAATGACAATAAATCACCTATTGTAACTAAAAGTGTGAGGAAACCAGAGGTAAAAAAGAAAACCAGAGGCAGAAAAATCATCCAAAAATAAAATTAGCTTGGTTATCAGAGCATGATGTCCAGGTTTAATAGCCTATGAATAAATCAAATATATGTTGACTCAGGACTGGCTCCTGTATTTGCACAGATCAATGCCAGCCCTCTAATTCTTGCAAGGAGAACACTAGGCCAACTAAACAAAACCCTAACTAAAGTTACTGAACTAAATATATCTGTGAGTTTATCAACTGCCCTCAAGGAACTTATAATCAATTTGAAAACTTAAATAACAAAATCTGTTTTATTACTGTCTTATAACTGGTGCCACACTGAGTGTTATTCATACTCTGATAGACAAAAGACTCTGAATAGCCAAAGCAATCTTGAGAAAGAAGAACAAAGCTGAAGGCATCCCAATTTCTGATTTCAAGCTATATTACAAATCTATTATAATTAAAACAATACGGTACTGGCATAAAAACAAATACATAGGTAAACAGAACAGAATACAGAGCCCAGAAATAAACCCAGGCATACATGGTCAATTAATTCAGAAGAGAAGATACTTGAACAGGATCTTTAAGAAAAAAGGATTTGGAGGGGAGTGAGTATGGGCAGGTCTGGACTGAGAAAGATCTGGAGGAGCAAGAGGAACCTCATGGTAAAATTCAGGAGGCATGCAAGATGTTATCTGGTTTGGCTGGAGATGATGTTCATTTGGAAATGAGGTTTCAAAAAAGGCTCGCAGCAAGAGATAAGACGACTCTGTACATGCGAATAAGGTATTTTTCTATGATATTCTGTTGATCATGAGCTGAGATTGCAGATGAGAGAAGCAAGCTGCTGCATCTCATGACTTAGGAAGAATGTTCAAGTAGACTGTTGTGTTGAAGCATATGATGAAGACTGAGGGACCAGGGGGGAGGCAGTAATAATTCCCACATGAGAAGACGAAAGTCTGCTTTAGGACAACATCGAAAAGTACAAATGCAGACAATGATGCTTGGCAGAAATCTGACGAGGGATTGTGGAAGGAAACGGGAAAAGACTGAATGGCATAAGGGGCTTTAGCCTGGGTAACTGGGGACTTTCCCCAACATTACAACACCTAACAGAGAGAAAGCTGCAAACAGATAGATAGGTGGGTCTCAAACTC